CCTTAAGGTCCTCCCCTATCACAGGACGTTGAATGCAGTTCCCTGTGCTATACAACAGGACCTTGCTGTGTATCCCTCCTGTATAGTATACCAGTCTGCATCTGCTAATCCCAAACTCCCAGTCCATCCCTCCGCCTCCCCCTCTCCCCCTTGGCAACCACAAGCCCATTCTCTCTGTGCAGACTTCATTTAAAATCGAGTCTCTGAGGGTCTGGCCTCCCACTTGCTTTCTTCCCAACTCCCCAGCACCTCTGACAGCAGTCCCCAGACCCGGTCCCCCCATAACTGCTAACCTGGGGGCTTAAAACACTCCCAACACCCAGGCCACACCCCAGACCCACGAAGTCAGGTTCTCTGAGGGTGAGATCCAGGCAGTTGTGTTTGGTAAAGCTCCTCCCGTGACTCAAGTGTGTGGAGACGCTTGAGAAGCACCGTTCTAGAACCTCATCCTGGCCTGAGGGACGTTGGGATTACTGTCTGTGCAGAATCCAAGAGCTTTTCTGTCCTATTAAGGGAACACCATGTGACTCTTCACACAGAGGGCTTTGCTGTGAAGAAACAAGGGAGGTGGCACTCTCTGTTGCTTATAATTTATTACCTGTTTAAAAATTCTTTTACATTTTGTACATGTTGGCTGACAGGATAAATGCAGGCAAATTTACAAACCGAGGGACTGCAGGAAAATGGGGAGAGACAGCCAGGGAGAGAGGAGAGACACAGCCAGAGCCAGCATCCCTCACTTCCAGCACACGGGGAACACGGACAGGACCCCAGAGAGCGAGCCTCCGCAGGGGTTTTCTAGAAAAGGAATTGCATAGAAGATACAGCAAGAGGGAACTCCACAACAGCAAAAGAAGTGTTCCGTATCCGAAAAGCCAAAGTTGTGTCGTGTTTAAAAAAAGAAAGACAACAAAGCACAAAACCTTAATGTGACATTTCTGCAGTTGAACTGTTCCCTAGGGAGTAGCAGGTGGATGACACGGCACTTCACCGCAGACCGCTGGGGAGTTTTCTCTGACAAACATTGGTTGTCTTCTTTAGAAAGAGCGAAGAGGAAGGTCACCAACTTGCGACAGGTCAACATTAAACTCAGTGAACACATACAACACCTTGACACACAACACACAACACACACACACACACACACACACACACACACACACACACACACACACACACACACACACA